TGGGAGCGGGCGGAGGAGCTGTGGATTTTGCTCCCTCTGACCTCAGACTTCACCGTCAGGAGGAGGTTGGGCTTCTCTTTAGTAGCAGAGCAACCGGATGAGCCTCTCACACCTCGGCAGTGTTCCTTTCTGCTCTGGCCAGCTGTGTCTAACGGGGCCAAGCGCGGGAACACGCCACCACTCCGGACGTTTCAGGCAGGAAAGGATTTAGCCTGGGGGGTTGGTGTTCTCTACAGTGCTGGGGCCTTCAGGCCAGGTTCTCAAGGGTCCGCCCAGAAGCCTTTGGAGCTGTCCCACCTGGATACCCTCCACCTCTGCCTCGGGAAGGTGGGAAACCAGGACCCCCACCCCCTTACTAAGGTCAAGAACATAGCCGATGTTGAGACCTAGGCATCTGAAATTGCCACCGCCATGGCCCACGCTGCCTGGCAATGTTTGCAAACCAGGAACTGGACCCCAAGGGTACAGAGTCCAGCTGCCGCCTTCGCCACTGCCCTCCGTCCACGGCCCCGAGCGGAGGATGGATGCTGGAGCATGTCCCCGTGACCTCGCCGGCCAGCAAGAATGGCCCGAGGTGGCAGGAAAGTGCCTCTGGCTCACACGAGGGCAGCCACCTGACCCAGACCCTAGCTGCAAGGGAGTCTGAACAAGGCTGGATCTCGGCTTTGCATCCTCTGCAGTACGGGGAGTCGCCAGAGAGTGAAGTGGGGAGGGGGGCCGAGTCCCAGCCACGCGCCCAGCATGCACGAAAGCCGTGGCTGAGCTGCAGCGCCTCCGACAATCGCGTAAGGACCCCTGGCACACACTTCTACAAACAAGCCTTCCCCTGGCCTCGCCCCCCTCCTCGACTGTGATTCCCCTCACCCTGGCCCTGAGCACGCTGTCAGAGGGTGTGTGGGTTCCGGAACATGGCCCCACACCCCGCTTAGCTGAGCCCTCGGGCGTCAGGCAGCCCTCCCACAGGGCATCACTGGGCAGCTCTCGGCTGTGGTAGCTGGGAGGTCCTGGTGTGTTCGTTCTTGTTTATTTGCTGGTGTTTGTCTTTTATGAAGCAGAAATGTTGTATTTCTGCAGCGGTTGTTGGTGCCTTATAAAATCATCTCCCGTAAGAGCAAATTGGGGGGCTTCATAAGGGGCCGGAGCAGGCGTCACAGTGCAGGTGCCTCGGTGACGATGGCGGCGATAATGCCATCCATTACTATGGAGGTGTCCTTACTCAGCTCCTGGAAACTGATGGCTGCAGACTCGTTTTTTATTCACTTATTGCCTGAGGTTGTGAGCGGTGCTCTCCTGATTTGCAAGTGGGTAAACTGAGGTCTGAGGTAGAACCAGCCCTGGCCTGGTCACTCAGATGACCCAGAGAGAGGACTAGAGGGACCGGTCATCCTTCCTTAGCCATCGGCATGTTCTGCTCAGGTCTACAAAATGAGAATTGCTGCCGTAGCAAATGCTGTGTGACTTTGAGCGACTTGCTAAACCTCTCTGCGCTTCCACCCGTAAACGGGAGAAATTGCCTGTCTCATGGGTGTGTGCGTGTCATGGAATAAAGTAGCTCCAATGAGCTCTCAGCTGGGTGCCTGGGGCCATGGACGGCCACAGCTGCCACCTGGCTTTCCCACTGAGGCTCCAGGGGAGATTCGGTTCAGCCGGCCGAGCAGTCCTCAGACATTTGTTGAGCATCCACTAGGTACGTGCCAGGCACAGATCCTCCTGCCCAATGAGACGGATGAGCTCCAGGCCGTCCTAAAGCCTAAAGGCCCCTTTCAAGTATTAAAGGTGATCCTTTCTGATCAAGTACGCCAGATCAGGTGTCGGCAGACAATGGGCTGCCACCCGTTTTTGTGAGTGGTTTTGTTGGCACACAGCCACGCCTACTCATGACGTTCTGCCTCTGGCTGCCCTCCTGCTTCAGAGGCAGGGTGACCAGCTGTTGCAGAGACCACGTCGCCCAAAAGCCGAAAATCGTTACTGTCCGGCGCTCCACAGCGAG